ATAAGCAGTTGGATAAATTGTTCTTAGCAGAGTGTGTGTGCTTTTTGGTTGCTTGGTTTGTTGGTTGAGTTTTTTTGTTCAATAAGGCACTGTGATTTTATTTTTCAGCTTTTTTTTGTACATTATAATGACACCTCTTGGTTCTAACTCTCCTGGAGGCTTTGCTAAACTGTGACTCTTACAAACAGTAGTCACGTTTGAATAATTTGTTTGAATAATTTTTGCAGTTCAAGGCAGGGGTTGCAGTCTGTGTATGTCCACATGTGAAGCTCTTGATCTCCAGAAGGAGCCAAGGGTGTTTGCAGAGAGAAAACCTCCAACTCAGAGTAACTTTCCAGTAAGTAAGATCAAGTAATCATTTGATGGTGTTTCTTCTGTCCACTGTAGTTGTCAGCTGGAATAGAAAACACACACTCTGTTGTTCTCTAGGAAATGAAAGAGACCGAGATTCAAGGTTGAAGTTCATGTTTATGATCTTGAAGGGAGATAAAGACATCAGAGTACAGGCAATCTTTTCCAAATGCTTTTCCTGTGATTGCCATGCAACTGCCTTAGCAGTCCTCAGGCTCCCATTGTATGCTTGGGAAAATCTTGGCTCCAATACGCAGTTCTGAGGCATGAACTGAGGAAATAAGTACTCACCAAGTCTGTGTTAATGAGAGTTTGGAATCTTGGTTATATTGGCATTCCTTTTTACAGGTGTCAGGGCAGTAAATCAGTGCTCTGAGAGTGCTAAAGTTTCTGGATAGATGCATTTTTTGATTAGTAACTACTGGTAAGATGTTTGATTAGTACCTCGCATTTCTAGTCTGGCATGGGCTGGTTCTGAACTGTTTTCTCAAGGGAGCACTGGAAACCCTGATGCAGGTCAGGTAGGTTGTGCCGTTCACTATCAGTGCATTGTATTTCTACAGGGGTCCTAAATATGGAATGTTTTTTTGTTTTCTTCAGCTTTCTCTGGACTCCCCAAAGTTACTGTTCAAGTCACCCCCCTTGCCTGTGTTCTTCAGCAGGAGCTGCTGCATAAGATCCTTCACGATTCTGTGATGGTGTGAAATCCCTCATGTCCTCAGAGTGGGTCTCAGGATTCCTGGAGCAGGGGAAGCTGTCCCAGCTCAGGCAGGCCCTGAGGAGGTGCTTACAGAGCATTATTTGCCCCATGGCTTAATTGCCTTCACATTACCCAGTTGTTAATTCAATAGGTGCAGGAAGTGATTTGGCTGCTTTGTTGCAGGCTTTGGCTGTGTGCCTTTCCACAGCAGGTATTTATTTGGCTTGGCACCTGGAGCAGGAGCATTCCCTGGCAGCAGGCCCAGGAAAGCCAAAGGACAATTAAAGAGGAGATGTCTCCTTTCAGCAAGTGAGGGCTTCTCCTCACTGCACGAGAATGGCTTTGGAGGATGTGTCCCTGATACAAGTCTGAGGTGAACATTTTTCCTGGCCTGGGAACCATTTAACATGGGCAATCTCTGAAAGGGCAGGGCTTTTTCCTTTAGGTTAGGAATGAATTAGGTTGTGATTTGTAAAATGTCTTGTCACTGCTACCTCCTAATGTCTGCAGTCAGGGGGTGTGTCCAGCTCATACCCTCTCTTAGTTTTATCATTATGTTACCTTTTTGACCTCTCCCAATCCTATGTTTTGTAGTATTTCCTGGCTATAATGGGAATAAAAAACCCAATCCCAGTCTCCAAACCAACATCCCCCTAAACCTGGATTAAGACAATTTCAATCCAAGTAAGTTTTCAGATTCAGTGGAGTTGAGTAATTTTTGAGGGTCTGCTTTGGATGGTTGTGGTCTTTTGGTTAAAGTGCTGAAATCATTTGAGAAAACAGTGACAGGAGATGGGTGAACCACAAGAAAATGGGAACACTCGCTGGAATCATCACAAAATCTTTGCATCTTTCTCTCATGACAGCCACACTTTAATCCTGTTTGTTACTTTCATTGCTTGTGTTGCAAGGAAGGAAAAGCGAAGCAGTCATACTTGGCTTCCACCCTGGAAGATACTAAAGCTGCCATCCCAGGGAATTCTGTCTTACAGCTCTTTGAGTGCCACGTGCGGGGTCAGCCTTGGGCAGCTTTGGAGTCTGTGGTAAAATGAACTCCATTGTTCCTGGCAACAAAAAATGCCTGCTCTTTGTTGAAAGGAAGGCAAAATGACAGTGATAAGTTTGCTCAATTCTCAGTGAATTATCCAAAATAACACACAAAACAGGGAAAGGGCCACATATCCTTTGAGCTTGTTTCAGGATGTGTTTAGGGAAGGAGGTATTTGGAGGAAACCCATCACTAACATTTTTGATGAATGTGATCACCAGCGAGGACAGAGTGGATGGTTATGGCCCCCGTTATCTTGTGTTTCTCTGTTGGTTTCCCTCCTTTTTTAAATTTTCAGCTTGCAGGACTCCAAGTTGCCTCAATACACACAAGGTACAGGAATATGTCAAGACATTGTTTTAAAAATTATGGCAGCTAACATGAGCACAGCATTTTTTCTTTCCTAAAATTGCTAGTGAATGCCCATCAGGAGTATGTTGAGGTGCCAGGAGACTAAGCATACTGGAGGCTTTCTCTAGAAAATGAGCTCCTGAAAAGAGGAACATTTGATTTAATTTTAATTCTGCATTTTTACCTTTGTTTTTCTGCTAAACATTAGAAAATTCCCATAAAATAAATATGATCAGGACATTGACTGAAAAATGTGTTTCACTTTTCTCCAAATACTGTTCTGCTGTGAGCTAAAAGTTGTTTAATTTAGATAAAGTTTGCCATTAGCATATGAATATATACTTGAATTTGCAGAATCATATGTATTCTAATGAAGTTTTTTGCTTTGTTCAAATCCTCATTTTTTAGGGGAGTGCTGTTCTATCAAGCACACTTTCCATTTGGGTGGCCCTGGCTTGTGTTCCTGGTACACACCATTTGAAACAAATTCTTCAGGGTACTTCTCATGCATTCTCTTCTTATTCTTTCTTTTAATAGTCATTTTAGTATCAGAAGACGTTGCACGGTGTCCTTCATCCTTTCCTCCAAGCAGGAATAATATTGTGAGAATTTTTTAACAGGGAAATGACTGTAGGATTTGGCCTACCAACAGGTCAGATGTGTGCAGATGGATTGACAGCTCTTTCCCATGTTCCTTAGTCAACTGAATCTCCTGCTGACTTTTGGGGAAAGATTTGGCTATGCAAAAACCACTTGGGGTGTTTTTGGTGTTAGGTAGGAGTGGATGAAGTTGCAGTGTTCAGTGTGAACCAACTACAATAAAATCTGTTTTCTTTGGCTCTTTTTATTAAACTTGTGTTCAAGGTAAGCAATGCCTACGTAAATCGCTTCTCTTTTGCAGTATGAGGGTCGTTGCTGTCAGAGATGAAGTTCCAAACAGAAGAAAGCAGAAAATGAGGAGCTGATGGAATTTTGACAGCGGGAATTCAGTAAGTCAGCAAACACACTTCTATTAGCTTGATTACTGGTCTGCTGGTGGTGCTGTGTGGCTCAGCCACATACCAGCCAGGTGGCTCTGCATTCTTTTATTGGTTATCGATAGGTCAAACACAAAGCTTTCAGAGCGTCAGATGTTTTGACAAGTCACTTGCTCTTCACTATTTGTGCTGGGTGACAAAACCCCTCTCACGCAAAGATCTGACACCTGCATGGACAAACTCTTAATTAGTTACTGACTTTCAGTTAGAAAACCTTCCTTTTTAACTGCGGTGTAATTGTTTTGTCTGTGCTTGTGTTTTGCCCACACACAGTGGGTCATTCTCATACATCCTTATTCCTTCAAGAAGTTCTGCTTCAAGTAAAAAGAAACATATAATCCAGGCTCTCACTATCACGTCCAGTCTCACTGTTCATGAAACCTTCCACTAAATGCTTTAGCACACACTTCACATAGAAGTGATGAATGTTTCAAGCTTCTGACATTTTATTGACATTTTGGGTTCAATTCTGATTCTCGTGTCTGTTTGCAAACTTGAAAAAAATGTGGTCTCGAAAACAGAAGAGGAGGAGAAGAATCATCAGTATTTTTGAAGACTCCTTATTTCTGTGCAAGTGTAATGTGTGTCTTTAATAAAAGAGCTGGGCTAAGGGAGTGGACTTATTCATTTGCTCCTCTAATGAGCTATAAAGCTTTCATCATTCTGGAAATTAGTTTCAAGGAAAAAGTAGAAGCTCTCAGGAGTTCAATGTGAATGTTAGTTCAGTGCTTAAAAATTGGTTTTGGAATTCTGGCATTTTGTGTTAGCTGAGTCAGAAAAGCTGCTTAACTCTCCTCAAAAACTGAAGGCTCATTCGGAGGTAAGTCGATTAACTGGGTCCAAATGTGCCCTCAAAAGAAGCTGCTTGCCTAATGACCTTTTACTTCCACAGATTTTTATAAAGTGTCTATGTATGAAAAAGTTTTCTGTAAAAGATAAAAAAAGATTAGATTTTCCCCAGTTCACCTGTCTTCTAGTAAGGAGTAGGAGAAGTCGACACACTAATACTGGAGTTGCCAACGTGGACTTTATCCTTCTGCTAGAGTCCTTGGCTGAGTCCATGGAGATACACACAGGTGGGATCTAGGAAACTGAGTACAAATCTTTTTTTCAAAACAAAATTAGTCAAGTTCCTCATGAATTTGAACTTCCATAGAATAAGATAGCTGGACCTATCAAAGGTTGGTACTTGCTAAAATAAATGGTATTTTTTTAAGGGTGCTAAGTTATTCAGCATAGCTGTGCTGAAATCTGCCTGCAGAAGGTTATAGAGAGTTGTCACACTGCTGCCTGTTTCGTGAAAGGGCAGAGAAAACAGTATCAGTAAGCTTAGTTATACCTGTAATCTTCCAGATTCTTCCCCACTGAGAATCTCCCTCTCTAGAAATCCACAGGGATTGTGAAGTCGTCTGTGCACTGACTGGCACCAATGGTTATTATTAAAAATAATTTAACTGCAGGTAATATAAAAAAATCAATTTTCATTATGGTTTGCAACAACAGTGATCTCGGGCTGATTTCTACAGGTGGCAAAACTCTTGTTTCACATTTGCACACAGAAACACAATGCCTATTTGCTGACCCCAAAGTTTCCATGGCAGTTTGTATAATTTCCAAAGGATCCATTTCCTGTGGAGTCACTCATAATATCCTGTTATCAACAGGAATAAATGCGACACTTGGAACAAGTCTGCAATATCGAGGCAGTGTTATGTGTAACTTTCCTGGGATTTTCCCAGGAACATTGTTATGTGATAAGAACAAAAGAAATGCAATCATTTTAGAATGGGAAGCAATCAATAATCAAAAGCAAATACAGCGTGGGTCATGCATCTGTCACCTTATACATAATCATGATGTTTATATTAGTCAATATTATGTTTATATTAGTCAATATTGAGCACTAACAGAGAGGTTGAGGCCAACAAACTAAAGTTTGCATTCTCTGTTCTTCTAAGAGTTAGAAGTATTTTTTCAGGGACTTTCCAGTATTTCTTCCAATGACTTCATCTACAGTTTGCAGCATTTACACGTTTGAGAGAAATATATTTTCAGTATTACAAGAACAGAAACATTGAAGTTCAAAGGAACAAATTACAGTTTGTGATTGAAAATGCTTTTGATACAAGAGCAGAACTCCAGCAACCAAGCATGGGAGGGGGAGTTTGAGGTAAGGAAATGACATGAGGTCATTGCTTGGTTGGTTGGGAGTTGCCACTCTCCTCTTGCCCCCCAACCAAACTTGTTGGTGAAAGAAGGAAATGAAAGTGCTTTGGAAGGAAGGTTAAATAAGGGACCAAAAGAATAGCTGAGGGCAGAAGGGACATGTAAACACCTCTGCTACTTTTCATCGTGAGATGAAAGGAAGGGGATGAATGCACATGGCAGCTGTAAAGTGGAATGACCTTCTGAGAGTCTTGTAGAAAAACAATTTAGATGCTAAATGAAGTGGTCAAGGGGAGCAGAAGCTTTCATGAGATTGGGAAAAGGAGGAGATGAACAAGGACATTTAGTTAGCTGCAGTGAAATCCCAGGGTCTGTCTTTCCGGTGTGTTGCAAATATTCTGACTCCTAATTACCGCCTGCTCAGCTTCTTGGTATGTTCCACAGACGTGCAGATGTGCACACACACAGAGACACTTACTGCATAGTCTGCATGGTTCCTAAGGGTGCAGTTTTCCCCTGTGGCTTCTGCATGGTCTGATAACCGAAGGTCCACAGGGCACATGGTTTAGAGCTGGAGTGCCTAATCACTGAAGTAACCAGTGCTACACCCTCCTTTTCTTGAGCTTTCCCCCTAGTCTGACCGGGTAGGTGGGATTATAGAACACGGTATATCTAGAGGAGTCATGCAGTTCCTAATGAGAGCCTTCTTCCAGGTTTGCTGTATTGAAAACTCTTAAGGGGTGAGCAGAAAGGAACAAGTTTATGTAAAGGACCTTAATGGTCCAGCTTTCTTATAGTCAGTTGGATCAGAAAACAGGTACTTTGCTATTTTCCATTCAGATCACATAAGATAGACATACACCATGAATTTTCTTTTACTTTCAGTCCCCAAAAAAGGAGAACAAACCCTCCAGCAATTACTGAGTCAATATCCACACCTGTTTTACCATATCTGAACACAACTTTCCTAACTGTATTCTTGCTGGCAGCACAGGTCATCTTCCAGTGCTCTACTTGTCCTCTAACCTTTCTTCTCTATATCTGTACTACCTTTCCCATTTAGTAAATGCTGATCCACATTACAAGAAGAGATTTCTTTGAATTATCGGAGAACTTTATTTTTACTATTTTCTTGCAATAGCTGAGTCCTCCCTCTAACAGCAGCAGGTTACCTAGAGTATTTCCCAGTAAGTCATGACTGGTGACTTCAGTGCTGATGTCTGTGCTCTGGATTTTATCTGGATTGTTTTATGCTGCAATTTTTTGCACATTAAGATTACAAGCTAACTCTGTGAAAGCTTTTCCAGCTCCACAGGCAGCTGATTTTTTTACTTGTTTCTTACTTAAGCTGACTTAAAAATATAGTTAATTTTGCTTCCTAAGGAGTTATATTTTTTATTTATTTTGCTGGCACCTGAAGAAAAATTACATTAAGCCAAAGAATAGTAACAGAAAGAGGGAAACTTAGCTTTTATCTCATTTTCAATAAGAGAACATACCCACTTCAGAAGACAGACTAAATGGTGTTAACCTTACTTTGCTCTCCTGGCCTTGTAGTGCTTTTATTCAGGGTTATAAAATTATCATGCAGGGACACAACATGGGCCAAGGAGAGGATCAGCATCAATCTTACTGAGAAGGGTCTTCAAGAAGAAGCAAACCAGAAACAGCTCTCTCTTATTTTACTATCCCAAAGCTACCTGGCAAAAATCCTTCTGCTATTGTAAGACTATCTAGATCAGAGGTAACAGTGAAATGAAAGTGTGCATCCCTCAAATAAACAGGTATACTCTAGTTTAAAGTAGCAGCCTTTAAACCTGTGCCCTTCTCTCCTATTCCCAGTTCCCTTTCTGACAATTTTTAAAAGAGGCAGGTATCGTGTGCTCAGCACTCTGTATTCCAGGGATCAGAATAAGAATCAGTTGTTACACCAGGTCAAATGCTTGCTATTTAGGTACCCAAAGTAAAGATCACAAATTCCCATTTGGACAGTCAAATAGTGGCCTTTTGATGTAGTAAAGATTTACAGCTCTGGGACTGATCTGTACATTGGCAGTGCTTAGGTATCTGAGGGTAAAATTCTCTTGTCTGCAAGGTAGTTAAGGAAGGGGCCTTGGCCTGCAGCCCACCCCTCCCCATGGATCTGGAACAGCCTAAAGAGGAGAGTGAGCCATTTACCCTACCTAAGGATTTGTTAGTGTGTTCAGGAATGTCAGGTTACCGTGACAGGGCGAGTTATGATACCGTGGACTGAAAGGTTTCATTTCAGTTCCAGAAATCAAGCTGACAAAGATAAAGCAGACTGCTTCCAAATACAGCAAATGAAAATTTAAAACATCAAACATAACAAATGGATTTCTCATACAAAACTTTTAATAATACATTGTTAGGAGTAATTACATTCACAATCAATTTCTGTGTATGTAGGATGCAGTTTTTTGCATTAGCTGATGGAGTAGCTAATTAGACATACAGTCAAGTACAGAACAATGAGATTGTATTTCTTCAGAAATTAATAGTAGGAATGAAAAATCCGGTAGAAGTTAAATAAATTATAATAGTTTTCTTTCTTGCATAGAAACTACTCAATAAATACATTTATAAATACCATGGAAATCACAATACATAAATACCAAACACAGTGTTACACATTCTGTAGTTAGGTTTTTCAAGTTTGACATTACAGTTCACAGTCTGGCCACAGGCTGACTGTGGTTGAGGAAGCTGTTGTTGACACAACATACTAGTGCACTCCAGGGGAGCAGGAGGATTCATCAGTTTGCTGG